ACAGAGCTGAAGGAAGGAAGGGAGGAAGGATGAGAGGATGGAAGAAAGGAAACTGTTGAAAAGGCAGAATCGGGGAATAATGCGAGGGCCAGAGACAAGGCCCCTGAGAGGAGCTGTGGGTCCGAGCAGGTCGGAAGACGCCCTTCTCGCTGACCTAGCACAGCTGTGCCTTTCATCAAGGGCCGCAGCTGCAGACGCAGCCTGAATCGCATTCTGTGCGACATACAAAGCCTGTGGGCAGGGGACCGAGGTAGGCACGGGCGGGTCTGCAGAGGCCTGTGCTGGCCACTGGCTCCTCTGCTTCTCCCAGACTGAGCTGTCTGTCCAGGGCTGAGCCGCCTGTCCAGGACTGAGCCGTCGGTCCAGGGCTGAGCCGTCTGTCCAGGGCTGAGCTGCCTGTCCAGGGCTGTGCCGTCTGTCCAGGGCTGAGCCGGCTCCGGGCCAGAGGAAGCAGGGCTGAGGCCTTTCTATCCACACAGGCTGATGTAAGTGCCAGCAACGGAGGTGTGGCCCGCGCCCAGCGGGGAAGCCCAGCCTGCCTGCTGGACGGGTTGACTATATTCACAGGGGCTAATGCAGTTCCAAATGCACCTGCCTCAGGGCTCGGACAGAGCAGGACTCCTCCTTATAAAGGTGCTCACTGAGCATGAAGCTTCGAGGCGCAGCGTGCGAGTTTATGCACGTCTTCCTGGGAAGGAGCCCACCCTATTCCTCCTATGTGCGTTCTGGGTGGGGTTGCCCTTGGTGGCTCAGTTTTGTCCCAGAACCGACTCTGCACCCCTACAGAGACAGCAACCACCTTCATTGTCAAGACCAGCCCAGAGCCCCTACAGGCCGCCTCTGCCTGGGCGGGGAACACGGGCCCCCGGCCTCATGCAGAATCCAAGGTAACCCGTTTTCAGCCGCACATGAGGCCTGGCCCCTCTGCTGCCACCATAACACAGGCTATGTCTTCACTGGGGCTCGTTGGACAGTGACTTTTCCAGTGCACCCGCTGAGGCTGGGACTCAACGCCCACAGCGCCCACGGAGAGAGCAGCGCGGGAGGGATGCGGGCAGCGGGGGCTGGCCCAGCCGGGGGCACCCCTCCCTGAAGGCTCCCCCATCCCAGACCGCGCGAGAGGAGATGCATCAAGTCCTGCACTGTTAGGAACAAGCCCCCTTTTGCCTCTGATCTATTTTGTTTTGTTGTAAAAAACCCTGTGAACCAGAAAATGGATTATGTCCAGGTTGAGGGGAATGTCTGTCTGCAACTGTGCACGGGGCGCCCTGGTCCGTCTATCCAGCGACGTTCTGGAGACTTTTCAGCTCCTCAGCCCCCGGCCCAGTGGCGGGTACAGTGAGAATAACAACATGAGGAAGCAAGAAAGCTCGGCTGTGTGCCTCCCGGGCTGGTTGCTTAGCAACATCTCACCTCTCCCTGGGAGAAATGATGGCTCCCGGAGGTCACACGGAGGACCCGTGTCTCATGAGGGAGCAGCCCTACTGACCAGATACACATTTTCCTAGAACAGTAACAGGATGGCCACAGCCAGAGCGCGGTGGGGCCACGTCTACAGTCAGACAGAGACCAAGAGGGGCGGCAGGAAGGCCAGGCCGTCGGAAAGTGGCCGGGCGTGGGGAAGGGACGCTCACAGCGTCACCGCACGCAGGACTCACCGCTTATCCACTTAGCCTCGGGGTCGTGCACTTTGAACTCCTTACTGAAGAGATCCTCCACCGTGACCTTCTTCTTCTGGGAGAGACTGTTGTCTTCCACTAGAAAACAAAGGAGGCAGATGTCACCCTCTCCGCGTTGGTGAGAGAAGGGCCGTAGGACATCCCGGGGGCCACTCGGGAACAGCACATACGGTAGAACATCTGATGTCCACCAGTACATGCCCGACAAAGCCAGTCACACTTTGATTTTAATTAAACCATCAGAGATGACTTGGCGGGGAGGGGATCCTGCGTCAGTGACACGGCCCATTTCGCACCCCCTGCCTGCAACCTGTGAGGGACACATCTCCGAGGTCTGCACGGAAATACTGTCTCAGGACAGAACGCCCCGGCGGTGGCTCGGTTGGTTGGAGCAGCATCCTTGCACCGGACGCCCATGGTTTGATTCCCTGGCCGGGCACATACCTACTTAGACTGCAGGACTCATGCTGGGAGGCAAGCAATCAATGTTTTTCTCACAGCAATGATGTTTCTCTCTCTCTTTTTCTCTCTCTCCCCTTCCTCCCTCTCTAAAACCAATTTTTAAAAACTTAAAATAAAGGACTGATTTATGAGCAATATGGTGGGAGTCGTCAAAAGAGGGATGAACAAATGTCTAAGGAAGGCTCTCTGCTGGGTTATGTAATTGATCATTCTTAAGCATTTATTAAATGCCAAGCACTGGCAGCATGGTGGGTGCGGGATGAAAAGACGGCTGACATCTTCCTTAGGCATTTCTTCTCCACACACCCCACCCCCGGCTGCCTTCAGCTGGGGATGAGCTCCTGTTCTGGTAGATTCACACCCCGATGTCCGCGTGCGCACTGCCAGTGCTGCCCGCACCCTCGATCGTGAAGCTTGGAAGGAGGCAGCTGGACCAGTGGTTCCCAACCTTGTTTTGGCCATGCCCCACCTGAGCACCTCTAAAATCCTGATGCCCCCCACCCCCCATGACATATAATCCTTATTATTCAGAAAGTGAGCTCCTATTCATGTGGAGGGAGCCTAAAAGGCCATTCACTTGGTCTAAACAAGCTTCCAAAGAACATGGCATCCATGAAAGAGAAAAAAAAAAAGACAGTTGAAGTACTGAGGAAGAAATCACTAAGAAATTGTTTAAAAAAATATTAAGTGATATGAAAAAATAGCAAGTCAAGTTTCAAAACATATAATAGAGAACTGAAATGGATAAATATGTCACAATATCCTATATAATAAAAAGCTAATATGCAAATTGTCCCCTCGGGAGTTCAACTGGGAGACCAGGAGTTCGATCACTCGCTATGACATGCGCTGGCCATCAGGGGGCGGTGCAGGACATGGTGGGCGACCAGCTGCAGTGGCAGGTTGCTGAGGAAGTGAGGGAAGGAGGAGGCCAGGAGGCAGGGAGGCAGGGAACTTGATCGGCCCTGATCGCCAGGCAGGCCTAGGGACCCTACCACTAGAGGCCTGGTGCACAAAAGTCGTGCATGGGCATGGTCTCCTCAGCCCAGCCTGCACCCTTTCCAATCCAGGACCCCTCGGGGGATGTCCGACTGCTGGTTTAGGGGGATCGGGCCTAAACCGGCAGTCGGGCATCCTTCTCACAATCTGGGACCACTGGCTCCTAACTGCTCACCTGTCTGCCTGCCGAATCACCCCTAACTACCTCTGCCTGCTGACCTGATTGCCCCTAACTGCCTCCCCCCGCTGGCCTGATTGCCCCCAACTGCCCCCCTCTGCCAGCCTGGTCACCCCTAACTTCTCCCCTTGCCGGCCTGGTAGCCTCTTACTGCCCCCTTGCCAGCCTGGTCGCCCCAACTGCCCCCCCCACCGGCCTGGATGCCCCTCACTGCCCCCCTGCTGGCCTTATCACCCCACGCAGCCTGCTATTCAGTCATTTGGTCATCCCTCACTAACTCCCCTGCCAGCCTGGTCGCCCCACACAGCCTGCTGTTCAGCTGTTTGGTCGTCCCTCACTAACCCCCCTGCCAGCCTGGTCGCCCCACGCAGACTGCTGTTCAGTCATCTGTCTGGTTGTTTCGGTAGTGATGACCCCTGGTTTTTTATATATTAGGACATACGAGGCTCCTAGAACCATGAGAAATGAAAAAATTCACTGTTAATGACTCATTCTCAAATTTCCCCCCCTTAAAAATCAAATTTCCCCCCATGTGCCATGTTCCCACATTGGGAACCACTGAGCTAGTTGAATCCCCAGCCCAGCGGAGATGTGTGGTTGATGGAACCAGTAGGAAGAACAAGGCATGGGGCAGCTTTTATCCATATGCCCGAGCTCGGAGCTTGTGGGTTGTAGCTCTGCCTGAGAAGAGGCTCTGTCCACTAGAGGCACAAAATCCCTCATCTGCTGTCAGAGACCAAGGGCCGTCCGTCTGTCTGACCTGTGAGCTACACTAATGGCTTACACACACAGGGCAGTGCCTCCCACTGTCCTCACCTGCTACGTGAATGAGAAACGTTATTTTCACCATCTCGGAGGTACTAGTACATCCCTCCCCTGTTTGTGTCCCTGCCCTCAGACAGAAGCTTCAGTTTTCGAACAGCCTTCCAGAATGAATTAAGTTTGAGAAACAAGGTTCAGTTGTAGTTTTGTCAGATTCTAAAACTAGTTGTGATGTATGATTCATTACAGACAGTGAGAGCCATAAGCTGCAGCCTCAAATCCAGTGCCTGGTATTGCTGACTCTCCAGTCGCCACCCTCCCTCCTGCAGCCCTCACACCGAGCACTCGGATGTCCCTCACGGCTGCAGGCCAGGTGCCCTCCATCCAGCGAGCCTGTAAGCTTTATGGATCAGGGTGACCTTCCCTCGTGGATGTCTTTCCATCTCCACTAGATGTGTCTTTCAAAGTCTCTAATTCCTCATCCTCCATGAAGCATCCCACAATGCATCCTGTCCTCACCCACCTCTCCCACATTCTGGGCTGTCAGAGAAAACATTGCCCACATCCATTTACAGTCTCAGTGAGCACTAACCAACTGACATTAGTCAGAAACTACTATAATGAGACTGGCAGCGGCAACAACTAAAGTCTATTTCATAACCAGAGGAGACACCATTCTCCCCAAAAGGCAGCTGGACTGTGAGTGTGAAGAGACACAAAAGACTCTAGAAGTACAACCACAGATGCTGAGAGCAAATGAACAACACCAGAGACCTATCAAGCAAGCTGTGCATCCTGTGACTGAACACTTGGTCACAGTCATTGAAACAGATGGACTATGACAAGATTGGATGTGAGGGCTGACTTTAATGTAGGAAGGAGAACAGAGAGGAAATGCCTAGAAGAAATGGGCAAACCACCTATTTCTGCAAGGTACACATTATTTGCTATGCTATACTAGAGGCCTGGTGCACAACATTCGTGCACTGGGGGGGGAGGTCCCTTAGCCCAGCCTGTGCCCTCTCCCAGTCCAGGACCCCTCAGGAGATGTCCGCCTGCTGGCTTAGGCTTGAGTGGGCCTAACCCGGCAGGCGGACATCTCCTGAGGGCTCCTTAGCGCTGCTGTGGAGGTGGGAGAGGCTCCTGCCACCACTGCTGCACTTGCCAGCTGTGAGCCCGGCTTCCCCTGTGGGAGCACACTGACCACCAGGGGGCAGCTCCTGCATTAAGCATCTGCCCCCTGGTGGTCAGTGCATGTCATAACGACTGGTTGTTCTGCCGTTCGGTCAATTTGCATATTAAGGTTTTATTATATAGGATTGTTATTGAATCACAATTAAACTACTTGGCAATTTTCATAGGGATTCCATGAGACCTCATGATGACATAATCCATCACAGATCAAAAATTGGGCACCAGTATAATCTAAAACACAGCAACAAATGTCACATACATTATATTGATCAAAAGAACCAGGTGGCCTGGCTGATGTAGCTCAGTGGGTTGAGTGTTTTCCTGTGCACTGAAAGGTTGTAGGTTTGATTCCCATTCAGGGCACATACTCAGGTTGTGGGTTTGATTCTTGAGCATGTGGGAGGTAACCCATCGATGTGTCTCTCTCTCATCAATGTTTCTCTCTCTCCCTTCCTCTCTCTCAAAAAAAAAAATTTAAAAAAGAATATATTTAAAAAAAAACAGGTAGAAAAGCACACATACTATACAGTCATTTTTATACTATAAATGCAAAAAGTATAAAAGCATGTAAAACTCTCCTAATATGTTAGAAATTAGGTCACCTTTGATGACCTTTTTTTCTGATAAGAGTCCTGGCAATGCGAGCCTGTACAGTTTAAAAATTCATTGAACAATATAATAATTTATATATATTTATTAATATAATAAAAGGAATATGCTAATTAGACTGGACGTCTTCTGGCCATCCTTCCGGACAAAGCCACAGTGGCAACGGCCGAGGTAGAGGAGGTTAGGGGCAATCAGGCTGGCAGGGGAGCAGTTAGGGAGCAACCAGGCCAGCAGGGGGGAAGTGAGGGGGTGATCAGGCCAGCAAGCAGAGGCAGTTAGGGGCGATCAGGCAGGCAGGCAGGCGAGCGGTTAGGTGCCAGCAGTCCCCATGGGATTGGGCCTAAATTGGCAGTTAGACATCCCCTGAGGGGTCCTGGATTGGAGAGGGTGCAGGCTGGGCTGAGGGACCCCCCGCCCCCCATGCATGAATTTTGTGCACCGGGCCTCTAGTATATTAATAAATGTTTTGAGCCGAAACCAGTTTGGCTCAGTGGATAGAGCGTCGGCCTGCGGCCCGGGTTCGATTCCGGTCAAGGGCATGTACCTGGGTTGCGGGCACATCCCCAGTAGGAGATGTGCAGGAGGCAGCTGATCGATGTTTCTCTCTCATCGATGTTTCTGGCTCTCTATCTCTCTCCCTTCCTCTCTGTAGAAAGTCAATAAAATATATTTTTTATTTAAAAAAAATAAAAAATAAATAAATGTTTTGAAAATCATTTGTCCCAGAATTTTAAAAAGATAAGCCTAAAACAAGATACCATCACATACCTGTCAGAATGGCCAAAATCTAGAACTCTGACAACACCAAATGCAGGCGAGGATGTGAGGCAACAGGAATGCTCTCTCATTGCTGGTGGGAATGCAACATGGTATAGACACTTTGGAAGGTGGTTTGATGGTTTCTTACAAAACGGAACATACTCTTGCCCATGACCCAGCAATTGCACTGTTTGGCATTTACCCGAAGGACTGAAAACTTATGTCCACACCAAAGCCTGCACACAATGTTTACAGCAGCTTTATCATAACTGCCAGAACTTGGAAGCAACCAAGGACGCCTCCGGTGGCTGACGGAGAAACTGTGGTCCATCCAGAGAATAACCATCCTTCAGCTAAAAGGAAGTGAGCGATCAAGCCTGACAAAGACATGGGGGTTGGGCGGTGGGACTTCCGTGCGTGTGACTAAGACAGGAAGCTGGTCTGAGCAGGTTACACGGTGTGTGCTCCAGCTGCAATGTGTCTAGAAAAGGCAGAGCTACAGAGGCAGTTAGGAGCCCAGTGGCTGCCAGGGGTGCAGGAAAGAAGCACCGAATAGGCAGAGAACAGAACGCTTTCAGGGCCGTGACTGCACCGTGACGGTGGTTGCGAGTCATTGCACATCTGCCCGAATGCTCAGAGCGCCCGGCACCGAGAGGGACCCCCACGGGAACCCTGGGCTCTGGGTGATGAGGACATGTCAGCACAGGTCCATCCGTCGTAACTAAGGCACCGCTTTGGTGAGGGGTGTGGATATCGGAGGCCATGCATGTCTGGGGCAAAGTTTATGTGGGAAGCCTCTACCTGCCATTCAGTTTTGCTGTGAACCCAAAATTGCTCCTATAAATAAAGTCCATTTTAAAACTCCAGGGAAATGTCATTACGGAACACGCCGTTACTTAGCGGTAATAACTCTCCAGCCGGGGAGCCTCTCCGGCAATTACAATGCAGTCCCCCCGCACCCCAGTGTAAACTCATTTCATCTTGTTTTGACTCCAGCGTAAACGCACAACACTTGACGTTTCTGAATTCCCGCACCTGCACTCCTGCCTGCTCTACAGGCTGTGACTGCCAACTCGCTAGTCCTCTTCTTCCCAATAAAGCCTATTGAGTGTAATTGAATTTATTTTTTAAAAGATAAGCTGAGAGCTAGCAACGCAGTTAGACATTAGACCTAAGTCAGACCATGAAGGTTCAGTTCCATGAAACAATCCCTACGATCTGCTCCTGCCCACAAGGTCAGAGCCTGTGTTCCGGTAACCCCCGGAGGCCCTCCCTCCACATGTACCTTCACATAGCGAAACCGCCTGAAAGTGTCCTAGCGTTTTCTGCCACCAACCGCTGTCCATCTTCTCTAAACCCCAGAAAAGCCGATGTGGGGGGTGCTTCGTGTGCATAGGATCCTGCTGGTGCTCAGCTCCCCCAGTCACTGCCTCCTCTCCCCCGATGCCTGGGCGGCAGCTGCCGGACGGCCGCGCTGTGACCCCCGCAGACCCCGTCTCATCTGTGACCTGCAGAGGTCACGGGAGCCTGTCATCCAGTGGGACACGTAGCGTAGGGGAGAGCACGGCTGGCGGGGAGAACCAAATGGCCCCCAGGACAGGGCCCTCTCGCTGGGCTGATCGCTCGACCGGGAGCGCCATCAGCACTCTCCATGGGCCTTTGAGACATAAAGCGTGTGGCTGTGATGACTGGACAGACGGACAGCACAAAGCAGCTGTTACTCAGATCGACCAGCGCGAGGCCCTCGGGACCCCAGGCAGGGCGTCCGTCCCGGAAAGCGGGCCCACGCGTACCTGGAAACGTTTCGCCAAGAGGCAGAATCCAGGCAGCTCAGAACAGAAAGGTTATTTTTTAAAAAGTACAATACGACTTAGAGTGATTTCTGTCATTCTGGCAAAATGGAAGCAAGGCTGGGGGGAAGGCACCCAAGATGGTGCCAATGTTCCCCGGGGTGACGGTTACTGGCACTCTCCGTCTTAGAGGCTGAAGGTCAGCGCTCGCCAGGGGGGAGGCCGCTCCGCCCTGCACTCCGTCCCATCAGCAGGTCCATGACTCAGCTATTGGCACAGCCCCACAGGCTTCTACCCAGCCCGGCCGCGCTTCTCCTTTACTGCTGCTTAATGCTGCGTCTCCCTTGGGGTGGACTCAGCTCTCCTGGCGCCTGTGCTCCCCGTCTCCCCAGCACCAGCTCCAGCTCGCAGCCCCGCCCAGGGGACCAGGAACATCTGGCCGGTGCACAGGCACCCCTGGTCCATGCGAGGATGCTCCGGGGGTGCCCTGACACTCTCCTCTGACCCCCGGAGCTTTGAGTCCCCCACCAGAGCCACTGCTGCCCCCAGTTCGTGATGGAGGGAGCAGAAGTGGGCACAGCCCTGAGCAGCGAAACCCAGAGAGGGAAACAGTAGCTGAGAAACCCAGCAGAACCGAAGGGAAAGGGGGGCCCTGCACAGCCACACTGGGGTTCCCCAGGAGTCTACATGGGCTCCCCAAGCCTTTTCAGGAATCTGGGGAGCCCATCGGAGCGGCCAACCAGGACACTCTGGCTAATTGTTGCCTGACACCGGCCGCCAGCACCCCAGGGAACGGTTACAGAGGCTGTGTTCCCTGCTGCCGGCAGGAAGAAGGCTGCTGGCCGCTGCTGCAGCACGAGGACTGACCGCAGAACCCTGCCCATTAGAGACATGGGCGGGGCAGCGCAGGCTGTGCCCCTGGGCAGTTGTGCAGACTGAGGGCTGCTCTCTGTGCCTAGAGCTGGGCTCCGGGAGGGAAGGCTCCCAGACACGGTGCTGAGCCTGCTACTCAGCCAGACATCCCGCCAGGCCTGCTGCTCTGGGCACCAGGGCTGCCTGGGCGTGAGGACAGCAGGAGCTGTGTGCAATGCTAGTGGATGGAAATACAAATGATTTTTGGATGAAGATGTCGTCACTTCCAAAGTTGCTGAACTCATCTGTTAGTTATAATAGGGTTTGTGCGTGTGTGCGTGCACATGTGTATTCCTGAAGATTTTCCATAGACAGGATACGTCTACTCATGAATGAAGACAGTTCAGCTTCTTTCTTCCCCACCCAGATGCCATTTCCCCTGCCCAGCTGCCTGGGTTAAAATCTCCCACACAACGTCTACTAGAGGTAGTGGGAGTGAAGGTCCCTGTATTATTCCTGCTCTTAGGGCTGCTGTGGATTTACCTCTGAGGATGATACTAGCTGTGGGCTATTCATAGATGCTTTATATCAGGTTGGAGACGTTAATTAGTATTCCTCTTGTTTTGTGTTTTACCATGAAAGGATTGTTGATTTTGTCAAATACTTATTCTGCATCCATCGAAATGATCTCCCCCATCTTTGTTCCATTAACATCTGTGTATCTCATTGCTCTTTTGTTGTTGCTGTTGTTAATCCTCACCCAAGGATATTTTTCCATTGATTTTTAGAGAGAGTGGAAGGGAGGGGGAAAGACAGAGAGAAAGAGAGAGAAACATCGATGTGAGAGAGACACATTGATTGGTTGCCTCCCACACGTGCCCCTACCAGGGCCGGGGATCGAGCCTGCAACGGAGGTACATGCCCTTGTCCAGAATCAAAACCAGGAACCTTAAGTCCGTGGGCCGACGCTCTGAGACAAACCCGTTAGGGCTCACATTGCTTTTTACATGTTAAACCCAATTTTCTTTCTTGGGATAAACCCCATTTGGTCATGCTGGACTCGGCTTCCTAGTATTTTGTTGAGATGTTTGCATCTGTATTCACAACAAACGTCGGTCTGTGGTTCTCTTTCCCTCTGATAACTTTATCTGGTTTGAGTGTCAGGGTCCAGATTACTGTTTTTACATTTAAGTTTTGTGATGATAGCTTAAACATAGACCATAATTTGTCTGTGGTTTTTGTACCAATTAAAAGTTTTTATTTAATTATTTTAAATTTATCTTTATTGTTGAAAATATCACAGATGTCCCCTTTCTTCCCATATTAAATTGTTTTACATTGCATTTCTCCATCTTCAGGTCTAATACCTGTGCAGTCTATTTACTGAGGATTGAAATGTATCTTCGTCCACACAATCAGGCACCTAATGGTGGAGAAGAAGGGGTACAGTGGTCGCACACGTGGGTGCAAGGCCATGTTTCCGTATCTCAGTCCCTATATGGTTCCCCTGCAGGCCAGGCTGTCTCCTCTCCCTCACCTCCCTACCGTGGGAACGCCCCTTTATGTCTGACCTCACCCATGAACTTCCTCCCTAAAGCCTCTCTCCTCTAGGCTTCCACACCCCTTCCCTGCGGAACATTCAATGTCCTTGTACCTACATGTTTTTGCTGCTGATATTTTCTCCTCCCTGAATGATTTCTGACTGTTTTATACTTCATTTCATCAGTAGTATCTAATATGTACTCTATTCTTAGTCACAATCCATATATGTTGTTTTTAATTCATCTTTGATACAATGCATGTGATATCTAAAATCTTTCCATTTCCATGCCACTGTCTTCAGCTCGTCGAGCATGAAGAAGTGCTGTGAATTCCCAGCTGCAGAGCATTTCCACCTGGTCAGCAATGATATAAGCAAATCGAAGCACGTGAAATGGATCTTACTTGTTGATTTTACCAAAGGCACATGGAGAATTAGAACCCGGGAAACATAAACTATGCAATAGGTTGTTACTTAAAAGAAACTGGTGAGTGAGTGGCGCCGTTGCCCTTGCAGTGGCTCCGGCTCTGGGACAGCAGTGGTACCTGGTGTCAGCAGGATGACCGAGGTGACGATCAGGGAGCAGATGACCAGGATCACGAGCAGCGCGATGGCGATCCCTTTCCAGTTCCTCTGCGGAGGGTTACTCCCCACCAGCTCCTGGAAACAACCACATGGAAGAGAAACCCGGTGAGGGAAATGCAGAAACAGAGAGAGCCAAGTCAGAACTCTCCACGTAACTCAAGACCCAAGACACGAAAACCTGGACGAGGCCCACTCTCATCCTTGCAGCGACACGGAGCTCATTCCTCGGCCTCTGTCTTCCCTGCACCGGAGCAAAACTTAAGGAAGAATTGGAGCCCTGGCCAGTGGCTCAGTGGTTAGAGCTTCGGCCCATGGACCGAAGGGCTGTGGGTTCCATCCTGGCCCCGGTCTGGGCTTGTGCAGCAGGCAACCAAACACGGCCTCTCTCTCACATGGATGTTTCTCTCTCTCCCTCCTGCCCCCTTCCACTCTCTCTAAAAAATCAATGGAAACATGAATCCTTGGGTGAGAACCACCAACAACAACAAACAAACAAACAAACAACAACAAAAAAGAAAGAATCTGATATTTATTATGTTTGCAGCTTTTGTGTGAACTTAATGTTTCTCCATCCAACAAACTGGGTTCCAGAGCACAGAGTAATCATTGTAGAGTTTTCTCTTCTTGCAGCCAAGCCATGAACCCCACAGAATCACCCCAAGTATGTTACATTTCTGGCCCCAAGTCCTCTCTCACCTCTCTCTCACGCACATCACACTGTTAACCTCAGCTACCAAGTCCCGTGTTCACTTAGTGCACGCAGTGTGACCATTTCAATCACCCGCCGCCCGCTGCTCACCACCGAGCCTTCCCTCCTTCTGGCGCTCCTCATGCAAGGCTTGCAGACACCCCAGGTGTGCGGGGAGCTGCCTGTCTTTAAGGATACCTCCCCTGTCCCCACACTGGGTGTCACCCCCCGCCCCGGAACCACATTTGCATTGCAGCAGGGATTGGGGGTGACATCTGGCAACATTGCTAAAGGGATGATAAAGGTTGAATAAATCTAGAAATTAAATCAGGCATACTGGCTGCTGAGGCCAAATTTTTAGTTCCTTTCAAATTATTATGATTGTATAATTCACAGTTCAAACGGGGATCCTTTGAGAGACGAAGGAAGTAGTGTTGATAATTAATAGTAAGTTAGAAATAGAATAGGGATATATTAGTAATTAGAATGATTAATTATACAAGGGCGACAGGGCTCTCCAGGGCAAACAGAGTCAGTCACACGGCAGATGGAGGATTTCCAACTCCGCCTATACTAGTACAAGGTCACAAAACATTCCGTTAGAGCCATCGCTGCAACACATACGCTCCAAGTCAGGATGAAACAGAATGAGATGACCTCAAAACGCAGGCGACGCAACGCACAGACACTTCCTCACCCAAGACCGCGAGTTCTTAGAGCGCCTCAAATTGCTGCAAATCAAAATAAACATGATTCTCAACTACGGGGTGGCAAAGAATGAATACCTGGTGCCCAAATATTTAACATGGACTACCCAGGGTTCGAATTAAGAAAAATTTAACTCAAAGCAACTGGCATTCACTCTCTAGGTTATCAAATAAAGAAAATTCTGAGTGTCCCAGCAGGTGGTTCAATGGTAGAGCATCGGCCCACGCACAGAAGGGTCTCAGGCTCAATTCCGGTCAAGGGCACAGACCTCGGTTGCAGGTCCAATCCCAGGCCCCGATTGAGGCATGTGTGGGAGGCAACCAATCACTGTGTCTCTCTCACATCGATGTCTCTCTCTCTCTCTTCCCCGCCTCACTCCCTCCCTTCGACTCTCTCTAAAAATCAATGGAAAAAATATCCTCCTGGGAGGGTTACCAAAAAATAAAAAAATAAAAATTCTGAGAGCCATTATAGTCTCAGCAGGAAATAGTTCTACAGCTGTTTAGAAATTTCTACCAGTATTCTTATTTGTCATCCAAAATTTATCTATTAAGAAAGTGGCCTTTCAGCCCTTAGAAATGAGACTAAACATAAGCACGGAATCAGGACAGAATGTTGCACTGAGACAACCTCGCTTCCTGTTTTCTATATGAACGTCGATGCCCAGAAGTGATAGGATCTTGCTGATGCGTCAGCTTGTCCCTTCGCCCACAATTACAAAGGAAATATGCCCTTTTCATCAACTTTGCGGGTAGCATGAATCCTGAAGCAGCACCATGCCTACAACCAACATTGTGGGGACAATCTCACAGACATTCCTGAACCTGATCAGATGAAATCCATGGTCACTGTCCACAACCAAATACATGACCACTGACCACCGAGTCTCCAGGGTCTGGGAAGATACAATGAATGTGCCAGTTTCATCAGCTGGAACAAGTGATCTATTTTGAATTTTGTTTCCTATGAGAAGAATCTGGAATTCTAAATTCTACTTCAAACACATCTATTAGATGTTTATATGCAAAAAAAAGTCGAGGACTTTGGCTTTCTGTCAATTTCTTGACCAGCGAGGAGTGTTGTAGCCCAGCCCCCTTGACATTTTAACCTCCTTGGTATTTGTGGAGCTAGAAGTGATTTAGTTCTTAATTAGGACCGAGGTATAGACTTTAACTGTGTTCCCGCTGCTGTGGCTGCCGCGTGGCTCAGAGTGGCAGATTGCGGAAGCGTGGTAGCCTGTCTGCAGTCCTGCCTGGGTAGCCAGTTCCAGGGGAAACACGTAAAAGTGCACTTTGCTTAAAGAACAGAGAAATATAGCTGGTTAAGCACAAGACAAAACCTCAAGCCACAGTGATAGTCACAGGATGCCTACTTTCTGCTTGAAAGTTAACGCCGCTGACATGCAATTGTGAGCCGTTTCGCAGATCCTGGGTCCCCAGCCCGGCCCTCGCTCTGTATCAGCGGAGGAGAGAACAGCGAGGCAGAGTCCGATGTGAAAAGCTTACCTGTGGCTAAGACACAGGCTTCTCTCTGTTCCCTGACCCCCAAATCCTCAGCTGCCAAACGCCCCCCGTTTGCTTTTGGGGAGAAGGATTTGCCAGGTCTTGCTCTCTTGTCCCCCCGCCTCGGCCAAACCGATCAACCTCTCTCCCCAAACAGTGTCTCAGGTCTCGCTTCGCCTGTGCACCAGGCGCCACCCTGACTTGTGGGAGGTGGTTCTGCAGCAGGGAAACCGATGTCCTGTGAAAGTGCCTTGAACAACGGCGGCAGCCACCCAGCCTGTGACGTCGCCAGCGTGCCCCTCCCTGGCCCACCGCCCACAATATGACGTCCAGGACTAGGCTGGGCAGCGCCACAGATAATGACAGAGAGGGTGTCTACAGTACGGGGTGGGGCCAGAGTAGGGTTACAGGTGTTCGCATGGGAAACAAGACAACAGTAAATAAATAGTAATGCAACCGAAACTCTGGCCCTGGCTGGTGTGGCTCAGTAGGTTGAGCGTCATCCCAGGCACCAAAGATCTCCGGTGTGATTCCCGGTCAGGGCACATGCCCGGGCTGTGGGCTTGGGCTCAGTCCCTAATAGAGGGTGTGCAAGAGGAGCCGATTGAGGTTTCTCTCTCTCTCCCTCTCCCTTTCCTTCTAAAATCAATGTAAACATATTTTAAAAAAGAATGAACTCTGTTTCGCATACTCACAACTGTAAACCCAATTTTGCCCACCCGTGTAACCAGGAGACAGAGGTGCTTACAAAACATGTCCTGGGAAGGAAGGTGAAAGGGCGTTCAGACTCAGAAACCGAAGATTCATGCGCGTCGTGTATTTGAATCGTCAGGTGGAGGGGAGAGAAGACAAATGCTGTCCCTCCAGAGGCAGAGTGAGAACCAGAGCCAGGACTGAGTACCAGCAAGATCTCAGGGTTCAACCCTCCGTGCACATGGCCGGCATGGCAGCTGCCAGGGTGTGCTCAGGGGGCGCTGGTCTTCCGGGGAGCGGGGGCGAGTCATCCCAACACAGTACCCTTCTGTGGACACCGCAGGGTAGAAGCCAAGTGCAGGACTGAAGTTGCTCCCTGGGTGGAAACCTGAGGAGGAGGCGAACAAGGCGGCCTCCTCCGGGCTCCTGCTGCAGAGATTGCGCGAAAGGCCAGTGCAGTGCACTGCTGCAGGGAGGGCGCGGCCACGGGAGGGACGCGGTGCCGGGCCATTCCCACCATTTCTAACAGATGCCACATACTGCCTTTCAGGCCACGCGCTTACATTCAAACACACACGGTGACTTTACCCACAGGAAAGCAGGCACTTTTTATTTTTTGTTAATCCTCACCAGGGGATATTTTTTTTCATTGATTTTTAGACAGGTTGGAAGGAAGGAAGGAGGAGAGGGGAGGAGAAAGAGGGAGGGAGGGAGGGAGAGGGAGAGAGAAAGAGAGAGAGAGAGAGAGAGAGAGAGAGAGAGAGAGAGAGAGAGAGAGAGATGAAAGAGAAACATTGATTGGTTGCCTCCTGTACGTGTCCCGCAGGTACATGCCCTTGACCGGGAATCAAACCCAGGACCCTTGGTGCACGGGGCTAACGCTCTAACCACTGGAACATGGCCAGGGTGCAGACATTCTTTATTAACTTGCCTTTTCATTTGCCAAATTTCATTTTTCAGAGGGTAGGTAATTTGTTCTCCACACAAGCAATACTGTAACAATAATAATAGGAAGTCAATTAAAGAAAATCACAACTATCTTGTTAATCCAAAAAACCAACATTTTTCACTTTTTTCCAACTTTCTTTCTAGTCCTGGTCTACATGCACATTTAATTTTTACATATATAACCAGAGCACAGGTGCGGTGTTTTAGTTTGAATGCAGGGTGATATGTTTCTTTGAACATGTAATTTGGGTCCCACATTCAGACTTCCTCGTCTGAACTTGCAGGAGTTGAATTATTAAAAATTTGAGTAGAAGTGATCCTGCTTCCCATGAAGGGCAAAGGAAGTTAGTAAATTATCCCCTGAGACAATGAGCTTCAGTAATGTATTTCTTAGTAGATTACAGGTTTTTTTGCCTAGAATGGTAAAAATGAGACTATAATGTATTCCCTGTTCTGTTTGGAACCACAAACATGCCTTAGAGATCCGAGCATGCTGACAACCATTTTCTTTAAGGTGAACAATCTTCTATTTATCCATCGATCATCCATCCATCCATTCATCATCCATCCATCCTCCATTATTCATCCATCCACCCATCACCTATCCATTCACTGACCCTTCATCCAACCTTCATCTATCCTTCCTTCCTTTCTTTCTTCCTTCCCTCCTTCTTTCCTTCCTCCTTTCCATCCATCCTCCATCACCTGTCCATCCATCCATTCTTCATCATCTTCCTTCCTCCCTTCCTTCCTCCCTTCCTTCCTTCCTTCCTTCCTTCCTTCCTTCCTTCCCACAGTTATCCAGGGCTTACTTTGCCAGACCCTGTTCTGAGAACCTCAGATGCCACAGAGAAAAAACAAAGGCCATGCCACTGTTATTCACCCAAAAATAGGAGTGGCTTTCAGCTTCTATGTTCCTTTCTTGTATCCAGTGCACAAGGTGAGAGGACAAACAATAAACAGCTACATCCATTAAGAGAAGCAGAAACCCCAGGGTGAGGTCCTGGGAGCTGTCTGCCTCATAAAGTGACATTTGAACGGCAGCTGAGCCGCAGGGGGAGGAGGCACATTGCTGCTGTAGACACCGGGTCCCCCTGAATTCACACACTGAGGCTCCCACCCCATCGTGGTGGTATTTGGAGAGTGCTTTCGGGAGATTAGGGTTAGGTTAGTGCTCTTATATGAAAGGATGCCAGAGAACATGAGTCCCCCCTCTCCCTCGCTCTCTCTCGCTGCTCCCCCCCCCATCCACAAGCATCAGGAAAGGCCTCCTGAGGGCGCAGCAGGGAACAGGCAGGTGGTCAAGCCCAGGAGAGAGCGCAGCAGCCCCCCAGCCCCCCTGATCCTGGACTTCCAGTCCCCAGAGCTGGAGCAGGCGGCCGCCCCTGTTGAAGCTGCCGTGTCTGGCATTCGCTGTAACAGCCTGAGCAGAGTGAGGCCCGGCTGACAGCCGAGGGCACACACCGGGTGGAGCACAGCAAGGAGGCCGCGGCCAGGCAGGGACAGTGGGCGAGTGAGGGGCCCAGCGGAGCGAGGAGGCCAGCGCTGGAGTGGGAGCCAGGGAGAGGAGGCCCGGCTTGGGCTCCTCCTGAGAGCAGGTGGCCAGCGCAGCAGGCACGGGTGGCGCTCTCCTGGTGGGAGCGTACACGGAGAACAGAAACCAGGAAGCGAGGGTGGGAGGAGGAGGGACCCACAGGAGCGAGCAGGTCCGTCCAGGTGGGGTGCGCAGGTGGTGGGAAGTGGCTGATTCCGGGCACATCCTAGAAACCGTGTCTGCGGTGCATTTGGGACGCATCACACACCCAGGTGTCAGGATGCTCTATCCTCCCACCTGCGTTGAGAGCCTCCTCACCACACAGACGTCCATGCCCTTCCCTCGCCTCAGAGCCCAGCCAAGTTCTCCACCCTCTGCTCACCCTTTCCTGCTCCCGGAGCGAGTCACCCCTCCCTGGCCCCTCCCTGGCCCCTCCCCCGGCACTTTGGATATACTGTCTCCTGCTATTCCTCTAGGCTTCATTCCTCAGGGAACCCATGCGCATTCTTTAGTTCCCATCTCTGACACTGGGGGGAGCCTGGTCTGGTTTCCAGGCAGAGTTCATTATTCTCTCCTCAGGACACAGTGGGGACACTGGGTAAATGCTTTTCGGCAGCATGATGGCACCATTAGATTACGTATCGGATGCCTGTGTCATCGCCGACTGCAAGCTGCTCGGGACCGTGCCTGGACGTGCTCCTGCTCCCAAGTCGGCCACCGCAGCGCTCGGGGCCTGTCTGCCTACGGGAGTGGCTGTGCTCCTTGCTGGCGTGTCTGGCAGGAAGCAGTGTGACTGGTGCAGAGAGCAAGCACGAAGCAGCCCAGATGCGGTAAGGACGCCACACGCAGCGACTGGCCTGGAAGGGGTGAAGCTGACATCTCGGGCTGGCAGGCGCGTTGTCCCTGGCAACGCAGTTGTGGCTCACACTTATTTTTAACGCAGGCAAACAGAGAGCCAGCAAGGAGCTGAAAGCAGACTAAACCGACTCCCAGGTTGCTGATGTCTGAAATATCAAATTATCTTAGTAATTGGTGATCAGAGCTTGATATTTTATGTGGGGCTGTGCAGCTAGAATAGATGAAATAGGAGATAAACTAATAAAGGCACCAGTCTCAGATGCGAGTCTCAGATGCGAGTATGGCCGACCTGCGGTCTTTGCCCTTCCATGTGAAACGTGGGGGTCGGGGTGCAGACGTCTTCTAACGGGTCCTTGTCCGACAAGGAAGAACAAACTCATGGAGTAACAGATTTCTTTAATAAAAGTGTAGAGTTTATTGGGAGCATATACAAACTCGATCTGGGCAGGTGTGTTCCCAAAGGGGACCAGCCCCCAAATGGGAAAAGCCTGCTAATTGGATTTTCCTTTATTTAGGACCCCCGTGCTTTCCTCATTGGTCACCCTGCTACCTAGTATCAGTTTCAAAGCTCAAAGCCCATGTGGCGCCCTCATCTTCCTCCCCCTCATCCTGGGGCATTTCTCCATCCTCTGTAAGATAATGCATTCCTCTCCCATGGATCCCCTTCGTTCCCTAAAACTCCCTGTCCTGTCTCTAAAATCCCTTTTACATGCACTTCCCCCAGGCCATGCCACCGCGGCCTCTCCTCTCTGGGTTAAAATCTGAACTTCATACAAAAGAGTAGCGATTCCAATGAAAACTATGAGGTGATGATTTCAAAAATTAGAGAGGCCGGCCCTGGCTGATGCCACTCATTGGTTAGAGCGTTGGCCCGAGCACTGAAGAGTTTGATTCCCAATGAAGGGCACGTACCTGGGTTGCAAGTTCAATCCCCAGCCCCAGTCTGGGCATGTGCAGAGGCAACAAATCAACATGTCTTTCTCACATCAATGTTTCTCTCTCTCTCTCTCTCTCTCTCTCTCTCTCTCTCTCTCTCCCTCCCTCCCTCCCTCCCTCCCCTTCCACTCTTTCTAAAGATCAATGGAAGAAATATCCTTAGATGAGTATTAACCAAACAACAGCAGCAACAACAACAAACCCAAAACAATAGAGAAACTTAAAGCTACAAAAGTGGGAAAAAGGAAAGAAGGGTGGGAGACAGAAGGAATCTCGCTCAGGTGTTAGGACTCAATGAAGCGTGTTTGAAAGCTCATTCAAATGCATGAACATTATGGAAACATAGATGACTGCACTGCTCATTGCTGTCACTATCAAATGATGTTTCAGTAACGTGACAGGCAGTGTGGGGAGAACTCAGAAGCACATGCCATTTCCTACACCATTAAAGGGAGGGAAGGACGGGAGGCGGCACGCCCTCTGTCCGTGCTCACTGCTGCCCTCAGGGCTCTCCTGAGGACACTCAGGACGCTGACTTTAGGTGGACCCCGAAGCAGGGCGTGGGGGGGGGGCGGCTGTGGGACTCCACAAGGGGGTGATGCATTGACTGCTCGGGCACACGCAGACGGCACGTCGGTCTTATGCCAGGTGAGTACAGCTCGCAGGAGCAGAGAAGGTGGTGGGTTCACAGAAGCGAGAGGAGGAGGTGGTTTCTCAGAAGCGAGAGGAGGAGGTGGTTTCTCAGAAGCGAGAGGAGGAGGTGGCTTCACAGAAGCGAGAGGAGGAGGTGGCTTCACAGTAACAAAGGCAGTGAGGCAGGCCCAGGCCTGGCCAGCCAGGCGGGCACAGCTGGCAACGGTGCATTTCATTTGCTAACGCGGAGGGTCAGCCAGGCGGCCTCTGCCCGGGAAGGAGGAAGGGCGCTCACGTGCTTCCTCACGATGACCAGCCGGCAGCAGTCAGTCCCTGCAGCAGCTTTCCACGGGCACTGAGCCGGGAAGACTGGCCCTGGCTCCCCGTGCGGATGAGGCCTTTGCCAGGATAGAGTCGGACCTGGGTTTGGGTGACCTTGGTGTTAACATTTCCAGAAGACACATGGGAAGGCGCGGCCAGCTGGGCTGCACCATTCAGGCTGTGAGACGCACAGGCGTGTGGTTGGACAGGGCGGAAGGCGGGGAGTCACAGCTGGGAGGGGCTCCCACTCCCCAGTGTCCCACTTCCCCCCTCCCGCGCCT